GAATCTTCTAGTTTGCAGTCTGCACAGCCTACCCTAGATTTAACAGTACAGGAACTACTGATAAACTATGATGATTGAATTGAGTATTACAATTATTTGAATATTTATGGGATGCTATCTGTTTCACTTTTTTGTTTATTTGTAATGCTGAAATATAACTTTGATGAAAAAAAACCTCACTTTAGTATTTCATACTTTCCTAGGCTTTGTTCTCCTTCTGAAGAAATATCAGATTTAATCCTTACTCTAGCAAGTTGCCAACTTCTCAGCTACCTAAAAGGCCTCCTAAGCTTCTATTAAGTTGCTTAGCTAGGGAGCCAGCAGATGGCATAGTAGTTATGTCACTGGACTCCTATATGGCCGACCATGATTCAAGTCTCTGATTCAGTGGCGTGAAACTCATGTCAGGCATGTGTGAGTGCATGCCCAAGATTCCAGAAGGAAAATGGTGGAGAAGAGATTGTGATGTGGCCATCTCCCCTGGGGGGGTGATTTCTCATTTTCTCTCTCACTGTCTCTGTCTCTCTCTCTGGGGAGTACATGTGGTCTAAGGCAACAAACAAAACAAAACAAACTCTTTAAAAAATAAATAAAAAATAAAGCACCTAGCTAGACATGCCCCAAGGCTGACTGCAGTCTCATTCATTCATTTGGTCACTTACCGAACAGTGACCAGAATCTTACTATGTGCCAGGTATTGTACTATGGACTAAGGCTACACAGATAAATAAGGCACCATCCCTGCCACTAAGGAGCTCACAATGGGGAGGGGGCAGACTGCAAGAAGACCACTGAATATGCAGAGAATGCCTAGTAAAAAGTGCAATGATAGGAGCCACCAGGTGGCATAGTAGTTGAGGTGCTAGACTCCCACATGGCCAACAACAGTTCAAGTCCTGAACCTGGGGGCTTGCTTTCTCACTTTCCCTCTCGATCTCTCTCTGGTAAGCACATGTGCTCTATATAGCAAATTTAAAAATGATAATAATAAATTAAATTAATAAATAACATTTTTTAAGTGCAATGATAGAAATAGGAGGGGGCTTCATATTTCTATTCCTAGCTCATGGAAAAATGGAATTAAAGTACGAGTTCATTTTGGTACAAAAATAGATTGAAATCTATGTATAGTGTTTCATAATATGCATTTTCCATAAACCTTCTTAAGACCCTTCATATACATAGGAAGAGTAATGAGCACACATGCCCTATAACAAAAATCTCTCTTTAAAAAAACAAAAGATTTTAGTTTGCAATAGATATTAAAACTCACTGCAGGGACCTTTCCTGTCTTGGGACTGAGTATGAATGGGGGATTGTTCAAGGGAGAAGAGACTGAGCAGAGGCACCATCTCAACCACACCAAAGACGATGGCTTGCAGGTGCACACACGAGTTCTGTTATTCATTAGGAAATCAATAACAGAATTTAATGCACCTAGAGCATTTATCCAGTCCCAAAAGAATGCATGATATTTCCAAAACATATGTAATTGATTTTCATTTTTCCTTGCAGCTCTCCATCACCCATTTATTTTTCCTAACAAGTATAGTTGAAATTCTTTCACAATATTGTATTAATAATGTCTTCCTTTGGTGAGCCACAGTGACTACATTAAAGTTGAGTCCTTAACATATTTTGTTTATCTTAATTCAGAGCTGAAAGAGAGAAATGCTGTTTTTTGTTGTTTTCAGTTTATTTCCATGAGAGAGGTGCAACCCTAGCAGAATTTTCACATCATGATCCACCCCCCAGTCTCACCCAGCCTGAACAATGGGCATGTACCTGCCTGACATGCTCAGGGAGGTCTGGGATGCGAACCCAGTACTCTCCTGTGTGGGTCTAGTTGCACTGGACTGTCTGGTCCAGGGGTGCTGATTTACTCATCACAGCTCCCAGAATTTAGCAAGCATACAACAAACAACAGTGAAAAACACTTAGATGTAAGCTCCTATTCTCAAATCTTTTTTTTTTTTTTACCTTTTTTTTTTTTTTTGGTCAGACATATAAAAGCATGACTCCAAAATGCAAAATTCTAAACTTATAAAAAGAAAATAGATCCTAGTTTCCATGAGCCTAGGTGGATAACCTTAAAAATCTGTGAACGGTCAGATTTCTTTCTTTCTTCGAAACCATTTTTATACCTCACCCCAGGCTGGGGAGGTAGCGCCTTCTCAAAGGACTTAGTAAGTCGCTCAGAAGCAGTAACATTCCCTTCACAGGTTCTCTGTGAAGCTACATCAACAGCCATTATCAATGTCTGTTGTTCATAATGAGCCCATCTCTTAAGCTCAGTGGGTTTAAAAGGGCTCAGTTTCAAATTGCACAATTTTTAGTGCCTGAAACAGTGCCTGACACATAGAGTTAAATCTCTCTTAGAATTATTAAATCAATAAATGGAAATGGGAGGAGGATGAGCCAAAGAAATTAACATTGTCTTGTGTGATGCTGTGAAATACTAACTTATTTGTAATTTGAGACTCACAAATGAAGGGACAATTGCAGGGGGGTTAAGGGGGTGTCATTCTATTCTTTACACATTCAGACCAAACTCAAGTACTTACTGAGGACAGGCAGGCAATGCAACTAAGTGGTAGCAGTCCAAGTGAAAACACAAGTGTGGACATCACCAAATGGAGGAGAGAGCAAGCAGGAGAGCATGCTCCAGCTCCAGGGTGAGGCGCACTCTGCTGCAGTCCATTGCTGCCATATGGGAATGCAAGTCTGATTCTCTTAGTTCTTCCTTTTTTTTTTTTTTTTGGAGAGGTTCTTGCTCCAGGCCTCTTGCCCTCGCCAGACAGACAGAGACAGAGAGACAAAAAGCGAGAAATCACCCCCCGGGGGGATGGCCACGCCACAGTCCCTTCTCCATTCTCCTCTTGGGATCTTGGGCACACACGCACACGCGCCCAGTGTGAGTTTAAGCCACCGGGTCCAGGACTCGAACCTTGTCAACTACGTGGGAGTCCAGCGACATAGCCATTATGCTAACTGCTGGTCCTAGTTCTTCCAATTTTTAAAGAGAAGACTGAAATCTAGATTGGTGTGTGTGTGTGTGTGTGTGTGTGTGTGAGAGAGAGAGAGAGAGAGAGAGACTCCAAAACTTTAAATATGGGGCCAAAATTTAGAGATAGACTGTATCTGTGTTCTTTTGCAAGCATATCTGGGCAGTGGGTAATAGATTTTAAAACCTCTGCTTTAGACTTGACTATCTCTGAAAATATTTGTCTTTAGGATATAGGTATGTTTTTTGTTGCTACAATAATTACTCTCGGAAAGTAAAAACAAGGAGGTAAGTCATACTGGTGGAAGGGTTTTTCAGCACTGGGGTGAGCTAGAAAAGACACACTGGATAGAGGCCTTCAAGTTAGGTGGGAGGTTGACAAATGGGATGTGTCAAGCACTTAAGTTCTTTGGGAACTTGTGGCTACATATTGCTCTCTGTGACGAAAGCATCCTAGTTTGCTAATTGGCATCCATTAAAGTTAGACTCCCATCCTGCTGGAGAAACTGGGAGATAGGGGTGCTCTCTTCTTTGATGATTATATACCCAAGGGATGGTTTCCAGATCCTTGAGAGAGACATTTTCAGAAAGAAACTTTTGAAAAAGATTTACATCCCAGAGGAGCCAGAGAAAGTATTTAAAATATTAACAACTCCAAGTTTCCTGATGTAAATGCTCTAAGAAAAGGGAGGTCAGGGGCCTAGAGTAGGAGAAGCCTGCTGAAAATTCAGTCAAGTCGAGAAGAATGCTGAGGCTGGTTTAGCTGTAAAATGTTGGTCAATGTTGATAGTAAGCAAGCTACACATCAGTTGGTCAGTTTTAAATAAATGTAAATTCTAAAGGGTTTCAGCCCTTAGAGTTCTCCTTTCCTTTTCCCTGTATCCTCCTCATTGCCTAGAGCATCAGGAAACCGTGATATGCCAGTGAGGAGGTAAGAATTCTGTCCATTCAAGAACTTGGAGGAGAAACCCTTGCTGCCTCTGTGTTCTCCGTCTCAATCCTTGGGGGAATCTGCCTGTCCTGGTATCTATGTGTAGGTAACTCTACTGTTTCATATGATTTCACCAAAAATGCAACACTGGCAATTTGTTAAACCACTCTAAGCTTTGATCCCTTGTAAACCATAATAAATACATTCCAGGCAGCATTGTCCAATAAATAAAACTGATCTGTGTACAGTACTCAACATAGTGCCTGGCACATAGCAGTGACTCAATAAATGATATCTATCACTACCGCAGTCAGTTCTCACCTGTGCTCTTGTATTGTTCTTACAGAAAAATGAGCCCACTAGGGTACCAAACTCATAAAATATACAGAGAGGTGGAAGAAAATATGTTCAAAGAATTATGGCATAAATCTATCAAAATTAGACCAGAAGAAACTACCAATAAAGTACTAATTACTTCCCCAGTGCCATGCCCTATCCTCCACAACTTCAACCCTATTTTCTGCCCAACTTTTATAACTATGTCCCTCAAACTTAAAAATATTTTCCCACATAAATCTCAAACTTTCATGGTATTCAGCCCAGGATGTAATGCAATTTTAAAAATTCCTATCCTTGTTATATTTCCTCTCTCACATTGATCACTCGTTGCATTTTACCCTCAAAAAAACACGCTATCTGGAAGTGAATGGACTTTTCAAGAATCCTGTGCACATTCTCCCCAGAAAGATCTTCCTTTGTTTGTATCATGCTAGCAGCTCTAAAGTTTTCAAGATTTGGACTCTGGCTTTAGAATTGTGCTCTGAGTGTCTCCACAGAAGTGGTCTGTTTCATCATCCAATGAGCTCTGCCTGTTTGTCGATGTGACACTCCCGTGGAAGGAAGCCAAGAGCCTATAGTAGGCTTCCTGGGGAAAATGTAAGCAGCTGTGGCCATGTAATTCAAAACCTCTGAAGAGTGTGCTGCAGTCCGTGCACAGAATTAGTATAACATGAGGGTTGGATGCAACTCGTCCTCCGGAGGACTTCCTCGCCCGCTGCAGGAAAGAAAGGACTGAAGGACAAACCTGGGTGCAGCCAGAGAGGTCCAGATAGATGAGCTTGTGGCATCCATTCCCTAAATTCAGGTACTGCAAACCTTTGTCTGTGAACTTTCTGCAATAAGCCAAACTGAGATTCTGTAAGTTTTGGAAGTACCTGAAGAGACAGGGAGAGAAAAGAGAGGAAGGAAAGTAAGTAGACTTTAGTTGCTCTCTCGCATCTGTCTTAAGCCACCATGACAAAGAGAAATAAAACTGTAAATGCATCTTTTGTCTTTGCAGATATTCAACAGTTTTATAACTTTATTGTTAACTCTCTTCCTGCGACTTAAAGGGAACAGTAGTATACCAGATAATGCATAATTACATTTCAAGTGAAAATAATTAAAGGATAATTTCCCAGATTTTTAAAGTACGTTAACTGAGATAAAAGGGCTTTTTTGGGGAGGGATGGGGGAGGTTGCATTCATATTGTTTGGAAGTGAATTTGTTTTTGAAACCAAATACAGAGTTTACTTTATTGTTGGTTTGGGGGGGTTTTAGTTTTAAAGTACCAAAATATAATGGGCAAAATTTCTAGAAAGACAAACTCTTTGTAAACATCAAAATGGAGATTAGCTCTTACATGAGAGTGAGGACTTGGGGCAGGAAACTGAACTTAATAGGCTTTTAAAATAGATTTCCTAAACAAATGGTTTGAAAAAATAGAGTTAAATATGCATAACTTCCTAACAGTTTCATGCTTATACTTAAAGACTAAGAGATATAAAAAGCTTAAACTTAGGTTAAGAACAGTATGGAAGTGATTGGGCAACATGTGAGAAGATGAAAAACTCTTATCAGAAGTCAGCAATCTCACTGGAGTTGAAACAGATTAAAAATGGCATTACCACAACGATGAAATGAGTTTCCAGAAAAAAGAAGGGTAGTTAGATGAGCCTATCCCACAGCAGGGACTCGCAGTTTGAGGACACTTTGTGGGTAGTTTTTCAAGCTTTCCTAAACCTGGCATTTTTTTAGAAGTGCAAGGACTCCCACTACTGCCTGCTCTTGTAATGGAATGAACAACCTACTCTTGGTTTGTGATCTGCCACAGTTTAACAGCGAATTAGCAAGCGAAAAGAACAAAAAGTAGGGAGAAAACGCCTCTCTTTCTCCTCAAATGCCCACAAATGGATAGTTTACCTTCACATAAAGGGGACATAAGACACGCAAGCACTGATTATGAATCAGACTTATTCCGAATTTGGAAAACACATCTATATGAAAATGATTCCTACTGCACAGCAAATTCTTTGCTTCAGAACACACATTCACATCTGGGAATGACTGTGTACATGAGGTTGGGCAGAACACAGGGAAGCTTTCGAACGAACTCCCGGGTGGCTCGGTGGGCAGGGCCTTGAAGGGGAAAGCAGCGCTATCGTCCCAAAGACACGCCCCCTCTCCTGGGGCCCTCCAGTGGTCTAAAAGCTGTGCCAAAGTTTTGAAAAGGCTTTCTCTTCCTCTCTCTGGAGTGCACCCCGTGATTCAGTTGAGTAAAGTACAATTTTCTTAGGATACGTTTTCAGGGTTGTCGTTTCTAACACCCCTTTGGCTCCCTAAATTTAGAGAAAAGTGTGGTGAGACAGGTAGCACAACACAATGAAAAATACACACGGTTTTGGAATCTGATGAAATTCGAATTGAATCCTAGTCCTGACACAAGTTCCCTAACAACTCAAAGATCGCTTCTTCACCTGTGAAGTTGAGACAATAAATTTCCTTTTAACTGACCAACTGTGGGACTTCCAGCTTTTCTGAATCTCAGTTTTCTCATTTGTAACACAGATATAATCCCGTCTGCTTTTTCCTTTTAATGGTGAGACAGTTAAGTGAGAACCCAGATGGAATAGCACTACCTCCAGGGTGGTTTTAACAATTAAAACCAGTAGGGACATGGGAGAAATCTTAAAATATATGTATTGTCATTATTGCTACTACTAGCCCAAATAATAACATGTTGCTTTCATGGAATTTGTATTATCTTCTGCCATTTAATGGAGGACACTCATCTGATGAGAGTGGTGCATACAAATGATTCCAAAAGTTTGGGAGGTGTCACATTGAGTTTATGCCCTAATCCAAGCCCACTATTCAATTTTTAAGTCATGTGATCAGTTAACATCCAGCAAAAATGAGAATTGACCTAGGGACTCCACTATTTTTGTGTTGTAGACACCTTTGGCACTCTGGTGAGGTCTGTATACTCTTTCTTGGCATAATGTTTTTGTTTTGTTTTAGTTTTGCTATATGGCATGTATGCTCACTGGACAGAAATAAGAGAGAGAGAAATCACCCCCTTGGGGGATGGCCAAGCTGCAATCCCTTCTCCGCCATTCTCCTCCTGGGATTTTGGACATGCACACAATGTGCCCACTGTATTTCCTTAGCCACTGGGTCTGGGACTTGGACCATGCAGTCAGCCACATGGGATGTAGCCACTTTAACCACTGTGATACCAGCTGGCCCCACATAATGTTTTTAAATGCATAAAACACAAGATATAAGATTATGACAGGTAGGACCAGCAGTTAGTGTAATGGCTTTGTCGCTGAACTCCCATGTAGTCGACTGCGGTTCAAGTCCCGGACTGGTGGCTTAAAAGTCACGCCAGGCATGTGTGCATGTGTGCCTAAGATCTGGAGAGGAGAATGGAGGAGAAGGGATTGCAGTGTGGCCATCCCCCCTGGGGGGATGATTTCTCGCTTTCTGTCTCTCTGTTTTTCTCTTGTCTTTCTGGTGAGCGCATGCACTCTATAGCAAAAACCTCTCAAAAAAAAAAAAAAGATTACAAAGGCAACCAATTATATTGAAATAAATAATTATCATTTTTTTTAAAGTTTTAGTTATCTATTACATGAGTAAGAGAGAAATAAATATATAGAGAGAAAGAGACAAGCATCCCAACAGGGTCTTGACACTACCATCCATCGCCAACCCCAGTCAGCCCCAGATCATGGGCATGTGAGCTCAGTGTACTCAGGGAGATCTCTGGTTGTGAAACTAGAACCGATGTGGGTCAGTTTAACCAATGGGCCACCATCAGGCCCCTAAAATACTTTTTGGAAAACCAAATGAATGGGATAGTTTTTGAATGTTTTGCTTTTTTTTTTTTAACACATTAAAGAACAAAATCTAGTAGCAGTTCTACTAACTACTGTCAACTATGAAATAATATTGAGTACCAATGATATTTCAAAATATTATAACAACTGCAATGATAAGAATATATTTGTGGGGCCAGCAGATGGTGTGGTGGTTAATGTGGCTGGATTCCCACATGGCCAACTGCAGTCTGAGTCACGGATCTGGTCGTTTGAAATTCACACCGGGTGTGTGTGCATGCATGCCCAAAATACAGAGAGATAAATAGATGAGAGGGGATTGCTGCATGGTCATCCCCCTGAGGGATGATTTCTCACTTTCCCTCTTCTCTGTTTCTCTCCTCTCTGGCAAGCACATATGCCCTTATAGCAAAAACTAAAAAAAAATTTATATTTGTATTATATATATATATATTTTTATATATTTTATATAAGGCGTGTGCACTCGCCAGCAAGACAGAAAGCAAGAAATCACCTCCCTTTGGGGGATGACCATGCCACAATCCCTTCTCCTCTATTCTCCTCTTGGGATTTTGGGCACACACACACACAAGCCTGGCGTGAGTTTCAAGCCACCAAGTCTGGGACTCAAATCATGGTCAACTATGCGGGATTTCAGTGACATAACCATTATGCCATCTGTTGGTCCCTACATTTGTAATTTATAAAAATTCCCAGAAACTGCTAATATTATTCTGATATTTTACCTCCATTTCAGTTAGAGTTTAGCAAAAGTAGAGATGGTACTTTTTTATCATTCAATAAAATTCAGAGAATGCCTGAATTCTATCCCTGATCTCCTTGGATCATCCATTGACCCTAGGTTAAGAACATCTGGTTTGGACCAAAGCAGTTGCTCATCAGACTAAGTATTCCTATGTTGAAAGTCTCTGTACAGTGGCTGTCTTCAGAATGGAAACTCACTAGAACCTTTCCTTTGTAAGCAAAGCACAGAAATCTTGAGTGGCCCTATAGGCTTTTCTAAGGATTTACAGTGCTGCAGACTTGAGCTGCTTGCGATGGGAAAAGTTTCAACTGACAGTAAAATTGCACTTGGCAAATTTTATGTAGTACTGATACTTTTTATTCTGAATTTTGGCAAAAAATACAAATGTGTCCCTTACATGAGTAAGACCTGATTCATCATTTTCCCAGCCCAGAGACTGCTTAGCAATTCCAAATCCACTTTGAAGCAGAGTATTTATATCCTGTTTTTATCTTTTCCTAATTTTATGATAAGTGTTTCTTATGGAGGGAGGGGTTCTCTGTGATTTATTTATTTTTCTGCTACTACTATAATCGTTAAGAAATTACAGTTTTTATAAAAGCTATAGCAATTACTTTTTTTTCCTTTTACCTTTTCTTATTAAAACTGAAAGTCATTTGCATGAGATCTTCAATACCTGAGGGAGTTACTACTAGAAGGAATGCAAAATTACATATTTATATAAAAATTTCTCTGAAAAATCAGAGACAAGGCCCAGTTTGTAAAAGAGGGAATTTGTATGTGGATTCTTTCAAGTTGAGTATTGGACCTTTTAAGTTTTACAGAAGCAACTTCAAGTAATAGAACTCTGCCAAAAATCTTAAATGGGGGACCAGCAGTTGTTGTAATGGCTATGTCGTTGGACTCCTATGTAGTTGACCGCGGTTTGAGTCCTGAAGCCAGTGGCTTAAACTCACACCAGGCACATGTGTGTGCATGCCCAAGATCCCAAGGGGAGAATGGAGAAGAAGGGATTGTGGCGTGTGTGTGTGTGGGGGGGTGATTTCTTGCTTTCTGTCTCTCTGTCTCTCTGGTGAGCGCACGTACCCTATAGCAAAAATAAACCTCTCCAAGAAAAAAAAAAAAAAACTTAACTGGAGTGACTTTGCCTGCTATTCACACAATAGGCTTTAAGGTTGTCTGGTGAAGACAACAGCTTACTTAGGAGACTATGACTGTTCTTGACACTAAGCAATCTCCACGCCAACTGAAGGACCAACACATCTATATGAAAAATAATCAGAA